CAAGTCTCCCGTAACCATATATAAAAAAGAAACCTCCTCTTTTAGATATTAGATTTTGATTATCACATCAGATATCTTTCTTTGATCTTCATTCATCGTAGATAAATATCCTCTAAAATCAAATGACAATTTTTCTTTGTCATAGTTCAAGTTCTAAATCAAGAAATTATTTTGAAATCTATTAAGAAGACTATCATCTAGAAATGACATAACACTGAACTCCTTTAAAAATATATATTTTTGATATTATTTTTAAACTTTTCCTTTACATTATAATAAGGTAATAAGGTATGATATGTAGGATAAATGATTTTAGAGTGTGCCTTTTTTCTAATTTGAAAAGTTTTGTGGGACGCCTTTCTTTGTATTTGAAAAATTTAATGGGACGGGTGTAGTATAATTTTCTTCAAATATCTAAGGTTATTTATTTATATTAGGCTTCCCCAAAAACAATTTACTTAAGTAGTCAACATTGCGTATGCATTTTTTTCAAAAAATATCTTCAATAATTCTAAAATTATTATTGTTGGTTTAACGCATTGAAAGTCTTATTTCAATCTATGAATTTCGTTTTAAACATATTAATGATTCTCGACAAATTCTATGGTGGACTTAAGGTATACCATAGACGTACATATGAGCAAAATAAGTATTTCTTTATTACTAAAATAAGCATTTGTTTTTATAAATAAAAAATTAAAAAAATATATTTTATGTGAGAAGGTCCACAAAAATGATACGTTCTCAAGGTGCACCAAAGAAATACTCACGATTCTCTCTCTATTAAACAATATGATTAAGTGTCCACTTTGGATATTATAATTTTCTCAGTTAAAAAATGCCTAGAATCAAAATTTTAATTATTTTTAAAATTATCTAATGTTAGACGTTAGAATACACAATAAAAAAAGATGAAAGTAAACTCAAATGACAATAATAGTTAGAAGGGAGAAGTATTGAGGTAGAAGTCAAAATAAGTAATTTTGATACTTTTTTATACTTTACGTCTATAATAGTCTTTCTCCTTTTTAACCTTTTCAATTTGTTCTAACTTAAATGTATTATTATTATTATTATTCAATGGAAATATTAATATACATAAAAATAAATTAAACATATATTATCAGTAGAAAAAACTATGATGTTTTTTACATTGTACTCATTATAATTAATCAAAATACATTAAAAAAATTTAAAAATTACTCATCCTAATTATCTTCTTATTTTTCTACTTCGTAATTATATTCTAGTCGCCGTATAAGGTATTCCGTATATATTAGGCATATTAATTAGAATTGGATCTTTCTATATTTTAATATAAAAGTGCCAAGTCATTAAACTCTTCAAAGGTAGCGGATGACTCATAAAAAACTTGCCAAGTAGACCCGCCACATGTCGACATTCTGTGAGCCCGAGTCTCAAATAATATATATAAAGGATATTTCTTCTCATTTTGAACTCATTTAAAATGCCAAGTTTGAAACACGCTCGTTGTGCTCAACTTGATTTAGATCACCCCTAAGAGGGGTAAGGGCAACCCAGAAACACCGCTCTGATCTTTCTTCGTGTGACATCATATATAGACTACAATAATGATCACCAGTTATATAGTACTCCCTCCGTTCCTGAGTATTTGTCTACTTTTGACTTTTTTCGGTCAAAATCAGTAAATTTTGACTTCAAATTAAATAAAAATGATATTAGATATTAATACAAAAAGAGTTTTATTAGATTTATTATATCAAATATTTTCAAAATATTATTTTGTTTAATTAAAGTACAATGTATATTTTATTTAGTTATAGGTCAAAGGTTAAAAATAGTTGACCAAAAAAAGTCAAAACTGGACAAATACTCAGGGACGGAGTTAGTACAATATATATCTATAATTTCATTGCAAGTTTTTTATGGTTGTTTGACTAGGCGAACTCCGCATCTGGCGTGGGTGTGGTGGATGAATGCAAGCTGAAGTTCTTGGAGTTGAAGGCCAAGAGGTGCTATAGGTACATTGTGTTCAAGATTGATGAGGCTAGACAAGTGGTGGTTGTCGAAAAGCTGGGAACCCAAGAAGAGACTCATGTCGATTTCACCAACAGTTTGCCCTCGAATGAGTGTCGATACGCAGTTTTTGACTACGACTTCACCACTGATGAGAATTGCCAAAGGAGCAGGATCTTCTTCATTTCATGGTACGTTATTATATAAATGTCTCACTTCGCCAAAAACCTTGTAGTCATGCGGCATCACTCTCACTGTGGCTCTCCCAAATGAGAGGTTACAAATCCAAACCCCAGCTGGGACATTGACTCTTTATTATCTACAATTCTATATTACTCCATATATGTTTACATGTACGACACATGTGTTATGCATATGAAGACGTGAAGTGATTCCACATCGGTTAGAAATAAAAAATAAAAATCATCATGTATAAGGCATCGGTACGTGTTAGCTTAATTAGTTCATCTAGGCCTAGAGACGGCTCGATCTCTACTTACTAGTACTCTTGCCCTTGTGCAGGTCTCCGGAAACAGCAAGGGTGAGGAGCAAGATGGTATATGCAAGCTCCAAGGACAGATTCAGGAGGGAGTTAGATGGGGTTCAAGTGGAGTTGCAAGCAACTGATGCCAGTGAGATGAGCTTGGACATCTTCAAAGATAGAGCTCATTAATTAATAATAACAATTATTAGTATGCCACCCACACAATACATACATTGTTGTTACACCTTAATTACTTCTAGTGCTTCTATTACATATACTACTACTAATGCATATTACATAGGTTTCAATTTTCTACTTTATTTATTTACATAAAGAGTGATTGAGTGTCATCAATTGGCTACTTTGACAGACTCTTAGTGATTTTTCTTTTTCTGTTTTATACCACAAGCATCTACTTGTATTACTACTTACCAAAGATGGTTTCTTTATACTACATTTGTTCATTTTTTTTTAGTTTATACATATGCACCTTATTTAATTTGCTCCATTATTTTTCTATGTAAAATGGGTCCTGCAAATTGCCTATTTGTAAGTGATTGATCTATGTGAAATTAGGTGGGGTTACAAATAGTTTACCATAAGGACTAAATATATGTAAATCTTTCAAGATGTGAAACAAATAGA